GTACCTTAAGCAAAAATAAACCTTGCCAGGGTTTGCCAAAGTCTGTGAACCCTGAATTAGTGTAAAATGTTCAAATCTATGGGTGGTGAAACTAGCAATTTTTTTCATATCAAGCATTTATTAGGGCCACTAAGCAAGTTATCGTTAAAAAGGACAATACAATGTAGTCCTTTAAAAGTGACAGAAAAAAGTGAGGGGTTCCCCTCAAAATTCCAACAAGATCTTTTTCCAGGCAAGCAGTCTTGGTGTCCAGAAATGTGAGAGCAGCAAGTGTGTGCCTGCCCATCCTTCCTGTACTATACCAGGCCACATGCACCCTTGCAAGATCCTGGGTGATGTTATTGACCAAATATGGTCATGACAATATTTGGAAAATTGCATTGCCCATGATATAAGGAGAAATCCCATGCTTTTTTTTTTAGGGGACAGTTTGAGGGAATAACTTACAGTAATCTGGAAGCCCCCCCTACCAGGGGAATGAATATAGGGGGACATTAGAACGCCTTATTGCTTATTCTCAAAAAAAAATACAAATGAACATTCAGGCACTGTGAACAATTCTTTAAAGGAGAACTATGGGGTTAAGGCTTTTCCCCACAGTTCTCCTTAGGGTAACGGGAGGACACAAACTAGTGCCCTCCCATCTCCCTAGGCTCAGTATACCGCGAGCTGTAGCTCGCGGTATACTGAGACACCGCAGTATACCACGAGCTGCTGCTCGCGGTATACTAAGACGCCGCAGCTGAAGCGGAGCCCGACAATTATGTCTGGATCTGCCCAGCTGCGTGACTGACAGCTGGCTCTGCCTATCTAGAGGCAGAGCCAGCTGTACCCCACCCCTCCCCCGTCCGTTCCGCTGTCAGCGCTGGCGGATCGGAGCGGGGGAGGGGGAATCCAGCCCCTCCCCTGTCACGGCAGAGAGCTGTGACAGGATCGAGAGGTGAGCGAACGCCGGTATGTGTTCGCTCACCTCCCGATCTACTGAGCCGACCTGTGACAGTTTCATTGTCACAGGTCGGCTAGAACTATGAGGTGAGTGAAAAGCACTCACCTCATAGTTCTCCTTTAATACATTCACAGAAAAAGATGTCCCCTGATGTAAATTTTCTTGTCAATAATGATGACCCAATGCCACGACAACCACTGCCTGAAATGAATCCCTGCCATACTCCCATCACAAATGACAGAATCCTGAGCACTGCGGTAATATAAACTCCAAGTCATTAACATATTTGATCAGTGACGTTGCCTGAATTCCCCGACTGCTTTGTTTACATTACAGCATATGGGGATACGGGCGGGCAAACTGGTGAGCTGCGAAAAGACTGGGTTTGGGTTGAATTAATTTCATCCCTAGTTGATGGCTTATGTAGTCAGCAAAATGGTGATGTTGTAAATTTAGTATTATTAGCTTAGATTGTAAGCTCCTCGAGGGCGGGAACTGATGGGGATGTGCAGTTTGTAAAGCACAGCGTAAATTGTCAGTGCTATATAAATACCTGTGAAAAATAATAAATAAAAATAAATATTAGCTTTCATCCAGGTTTATTCTAAACTTCTTCTTATAGCAAACAGAGTGCATTGGGGGGAATTTGCTAAGACTGGAGCAGACATCATCTGGGGCATCCGTGCATAGCAACCAATCAGACTGTAGCTTTGATTTTCAAGTGTAACTGAACAAGCTGAAGATAGAAGCTGATTGGTCACTGTGCACAGCTGCGCCAGATTTTGTCTGCTCCAGTCTTAGTAAATTCCCCCCAATGTTTTGGGAGTAAGATTTATTATTGCTACCATTTTAAATTCTTAGTAAAAGAGTGATAAACAGAGTTGTTTACATCAAAGGAGCTGATGCGTATGTTCTCATTATTGGTTACACACTTGGATCACACCCACAGTGTGAAAGCTGCACCTGTGTTATTTCAGGAAAGAAATCCAACAGCTTTGATTAGTGAATGTTTTCTAAATTAGGGTTCTGTTCATCTAATGTTGTTGTAACTGTCTGTGGATGGAAAATCTGAGCTTTGCCCTAATCACTTTAAAAATAGTATTTGGCCAGAATCATGTAGGAAACTATCATGCAGATGGAGGATGTTAAATCGTACCATGTACCAAATCACGAATTGTATTTTTTGCCCTTTAAATCAATATTTAAAGAACTCCAACAAAAATTATTCTTAACACTTGCAGTCAGGCTGTCCCAGCACTGCAGGGGTTAAGTGCTTGTTTTCATCTAGGGTGTCAAATAACAAAGTTATACTCACCCTAACCTCACAGCCAGCTGACGTGTTTTCGTGCGATATTTGTAAGGTTGATGGGCAGTGTACAACCGCAAATATTGTACAATCGATCGACTTTTAGGTTAGAAAACTTCGGTCGATCGTACGATTTTCGCAAGGTTGGTGGCGTTTCCTTATGTCAAAATTTGCATGGTTTACACATGCGCAGACGAAAATACGTGCGATCGATTACCGCAATTCGTCCAGGTGCTTTCCTGCTTAATACTGCTGCTTCAACCTTGCGATAATCGGGGCAGGATGGGGCCGCCATACGAAAATTGTACGACAGTTTGATCATCGGACGAAAAAAAGGTGTATGGGCAGCTTTAGACCTCTCCCTCCAACCTGTCTCCTCCTACACTACAGCGATGGGGTGTCCCTCGGCATCCTCATATGACTCAAGGGTCCTTAGGCCACTGGAGTGGAGGGGGAGAGAGGCTGACATTGAAATGACCGGCCAAAGAGTTTAAACTGGTGAGATCATCACTGATAATATCCACATGTGTTAATTGCATTATAAATATTTAACCTTTTAATCCATTCATAACTGAGCTGCCTATTGCATTTGTATAGTTCTAAGTGGATGACCTTTCTGTGTGCCTTGGTTTTCAATTCTACCTAATTGCTGTGACAGTTATCATCTCTTTGGATTTTTAGTTTTATGGACTTTTTAGGATGTTATTTACATACAGAGCAAAAGTGTGAGGCTCCACTGGAGACAGAGGCGTTGACAAGGCAAATAGGCCGTTCACTTTGCAGGGAAGCTTCCCCTTAGATTAGTGAATGAAGTGAACCTCTGCGGATTTCCTTAACCCAATTATGCGCAAGGAAAAATATTTTTATTTTTTAATTTTTCTTGCATGGGCTAGGGTACTCTTTACAAATTGAAATTTCACAACATTCACCAACCTAAGAGAAACTTCCCCTGCAAAGCGCAAATCCTCAAAGTAAACAGCCTAATAAGTCAACCTCAGCTCCTCTGATGGGAAGGTTATGTTGCTTGAATACCTCACATAATAAAAAGGATTTGAAGTTATCTCAGATATTGTAAAATTAAATGTTATTTAAATAAATCTGCCAACTTAATTGGAAGGCTGTAATGATCACATACCTGACTATTAGGCACTGTCTGGTGCCAATCCTAACTTGTAGGGAATTCCATCCCTGCAATATTCCTTGTAGCCTCTGAAATCTTTGACTCCTTAGTATGTAAATGTTCAAAAGTCAACTCGAAAGAATGGCCCCAGTACATCCTAAAATGCAATTCCTCAACTAACGTTTGAAGGGTATGCTGGGGCTTTTCTTAACATAGACCCTGCTAAAACCAAGAAATAGTAAACTGCTTACAATCTCAGGTTTCAGGGGATTCAAAGACTTCCCTGCAGTGGTGGATTGTTTAGTACATTATAGTGATTGGCACCTGAAACACAAAAGCTAATTGAATACTGCACTTTATGTAAATAAAATTGTATATGCTGTGCATATATACACACTGAGTGGCCAGATTATTATGACCACCCCATCAGTATTTCGTTGGGCCACCTTTTGCCTTCAATACTGCAGCGATTCTTCTTGGCATTGACTCCACGAGATGTTGAAAGGTGATGCGAGGAATCTGACAGCATGCCTGATGAATAGCACTGTCCAGTTCTGTGAGATTTGATGGTTGTGGAACCAGCTGCCTTATTTCAAAGGCTGTTAAATCATGTTGTTTACCCAAATCTTCAGAAAAACGTTTATAATGGGCTGGCCCTCTAGCAACTTCAGCGCAAAATTATAGCTAATTTGACTACAAACGTCAGGTGAAAGGTAAAGGAAGTTCCCCTTTCCCCTCCTAGACATTTCTCAAAGGAACAAGTGTCCCCATTGGAAGGTTTACCTTCAGTTCCTGTTCAGGTGAAAACTGTAAAGTTTAGATTTCTCATAATTTTCTATATCGGTGATATAGAAAATTAACAAAGTGAAAAGTGACAATGGCTACCAGAAAAAAAGAGAGTTTGTCCCATAAGGATACAGATAACATTAAATAACTTATAGGGGAAATAACTCTTCTGCATCCTATGCAAAAGTTGTTTGCCTATACGTACAGATGAAGGCACAGCATTCCACATTGATGCATGTTAACTAACAGCGCCAAAACCCATGAAGTAATTATTTTTATGTATTAATTGTTGCTATATTAGTACCATTAAGGGAATACTAAATAATGGTTTAGTAAACATTGGGGATGCATGAAAATACATAGCCCACAGGAGATCACAACAGCCCTTCAGGGAAATGCAAGGATTAACAGATAGCCAGTCTAGGGCTGAAATGCACATCTGTACAGTGGCTAGTTCTAATGAAATCATACATTACTGTAATCATACAATGCAATTTAGTTTTTTATTTAAGCTGTAGGTTATAGGAACATTTGTATATATTTCACATTATAGGATTGTGTTGGGGAACTCAAGATTATGTTAAACTGATCACATACATTCAGATTTTCATCGGTCAGATCAACAACATTTTCTAACAACTGTATAGTGAGATTTTTTACCTGAACTACAGTCATTTTTAGAAAATAGTTTATATATATTTAAATATAAGTCCAACTATAGGTATCTGTTGTCATTTTTAAAAATACATATTTAATTTTACAGATGAAATCTAAATTTGCTTCCAGCTTTAGCTTTACTAAACTGTCATAATACCGCATTCTAAAAATATTATATTTTACAGACAGAAGGTACCAGGTTACAGAGAGAAATGCGAGCTTACTTGGCTGCCATTAAGGGTAAGTATGTAATATATATATATATATATATATATACACACACACACACACACACACACTATATACTTTATGATGGCATTGCCATTGTACCATGGTCAGCAGGCATAGCAATGCCAATGAAGGGGGCTTTTAGATAAGCAAGCCCCCTCACTATAAATAGGGGGCACAGAGCAACCATAGTATCTGTGTATTGAAAACTATAGGGAGCTGATAAACTGCGTTGGGAGAAAATAGGGTCAGTTAGGAAACTGTACTTTAAATCTGATTGCTAGATCTCTGGGCAATCATCCCTTCTTTTTTTTTTTTGTTCCTATCATTTTTATTTTTTTGTCTGTAATTGTATTTAGTGGTTCATTTGATGTTAGCTGTTACTGTTAGGCAATGTTCTGTCCATTGTAAACTTTTTATTTCACTGCCAGACTTCCCTCCTCAGCCCCATCTATTGGCCATAATGCAAAATTACATTACATGCATTCAACCTGGAAAGAAAATATATTGAACGTTTGCTACTGAATCCATTTGCACCAAACGAACACTTGGAAAGATTCATAGGGTGATTGGCTTTCTGATTGGTTATAAATAAGTCCCCAAATCTCAATAATTAAAAAGTAAAGCAAAAATGGCTTAACATCTGTAAGTATATACTGGACATATACTGCATTTCGAGCTAAAATGTATTCTGTGCAGATACAGCTTTTGTACTATACTGAAATGTCTACTGTAATGTAATTGGCTGCAGTAATGGTAGATATTTTTATTATAGAACGTGTTAGAACATTGTTGTTGATTTGTTGGTTAACTTATTTTATTAAGTGTTTGTAGTGAGTTTTTCCTTAATACAATCTAGGCTTCTCTGGTCAACAAAGTGCCAGCTGCCAAGCAATGGTGCTTCATTCTGTCTGTGTGTAAATACTGCATGAGATGTGACATCAGACCTGGCAGCTGACCCTGGGTCAGTTGACAGTGATCCTCTCGCTTCTGTTTCCCTGCAGATAGCTGGACAGATTTAGAAAATACAGAGACATGTTACTACTGTACAGAAAGGATTACTATCCCATCAGTAAAACAAACTTGTGTTTCTTTGATTGTTTGGGGATCGTGAATTCTGTTACATTAAGCTGAGCAGAATATTTCAAAGACGATGGTTGGTGCCTACGGCATGTAGAAAACTGCTATTGCTGACTTAACAAACTATAACATTTATAAAAAGGGGGACAGAACATAAATAGGAGCACAATGCTAACTAATTGTGCTCATACTAACTAATTGTATTTCTTATGTTATTACAGAAGAAAATATGAAACCTGATTTTACCATGGGACAATAATCAGCTCAGTTCCTGTTTTGCAATGTTTCACATATTTAGAAACAGGAGTTACAGTTGTACACATGACAAAACTAAAGGGACCACTGTGGGTACTACTTCGTTTTTGAACATTCTTTTTCAGGCCTTGAAGGGTATCTAAACCGTAACAATGAACTTCTCTTATTTGGTCCATTTTGATCTAATAAATATACCATTGAAAGTATTTTGTTATATTGATAAGTGCAAAAATACCTGTTGATCGGGAGCTGATAACTTCCTTTGCTATTTGCCTGTGCTGATGTTTATTTGTTATTAGTGGTTGTGAACTACACCTCACCCATGTTATCCAAAAGAGGAGAATGGGAGGTGTTCTGCAGTCCTATCCTAGGGTAACAATGCTGCTTCTCCTCAAATGCAGTGAGTGATTGTTGTCACCTCAGGACAGAAAATGTGTTACTTGCAGGATCACCATATCCTGAAAAGATCTAATGTAACTACCGCATGTAAAAGACTGGTAACTTACAATATATTAAATTTTTGTTCTTGGGATTAGACACACTTTAAATAAAGGGTCTAAAGATACTGTTATAAGATTGTTGTGGAACACAATGCAGATGTTACATTTTCAGATTTAAATTCAATATTAGTATGAAATTAAAGTGTATCTAAGGCCAAACTAACTTGGTTAGAACCCCTTTCAGGGTTCTTTTTTCCCCTCACCGTGACCTGGCCTGGAAGATTTCCCTTCACACTTTGAGACACCAGAATGTTAAAAGAAGTGTCTTCAAAATGAGGGAAAATATCCTCTTAGACAATTGTCACCAGAACAGGTGCCAACATTGGAAGATCTAGGGACAATTATAAAACTTTGGATTTCCTTTCACGTTTTATCACTTTGACAGTGGCCACCAGGACAAATAGAAGGGATGAATCTCCCCAGCAGAAGCACAGACAGCAATAACATAACCTAACAAGGGTGCTAACCCTATCTAAAACTAAAAATAATGGTTTGACACAATATTTTAAAGGAGATGAGACAGAATATTAAATTTAAAACAGAATATAAATTTGTTTTAATGTTATGCAGTCCATATCAAACAATAATCTGGTGCCAGACCATATTTTAACATTTTACAGTCAAATAAAATATGAAAAGATACATACAACAATCATCCCATGTTCAAGGGCTGTTAAATCGCGTTGTTTACCCGTATCTTCAGAAAAAAATCACTTCTACTGTCTTGGTAAACAACCTGCTTCCCTATTTATAATGGTCTGGCCCTTTAGCAACTTCACCGCAAAATTATAGCTAATTATAGCTAATTTGCCTACAAATGTCAGGTGGTCCAGCACACTAGTATTTGCATGTGACTTTCCTCATCTACCTCCAATTTAGTGATTCTTGTGAGGTTCAGAGGAAAGTTGTGTATGATCTTGGTTACAATATGGCCGGCGGTCTTATGATCAAGGAAAGGTAGAGCCCTTAATTCACTAGTTGGAGCCAAGGCTTGTCCTGGAGAAGGGAGTCTACTGTTTGTTGAGACCCTTCGATGGTAGAGAACACCTTGCCCTCCCCCTTTCCACCTCACACACACGCAGAAATATTCTCACAATCTGGCTGTTGCTACTGTTCTTCGGTGAATTTGTCATGACATTAACACTTCCTCCAATGAGCACACACAAATATTCATCTGATCTGAATGTTTGTCTTTCAGAGCATGCCACATGATTGGAGTGACTGAGAGCAATTTGGTTACATAGTTACATAGTTACATAGTATTTGAGGTTGAATAAAGACATTAGTCCATCAAGTCCAACCTATTAGGATCTCATTCTAGGAGTACCTGGTTGTCCTTGGGCATTTAACCTCATTCTGAAACCTTTGGACAGCTTAGACTTAGGATGAGCATTATTAAAGCCTTTCAATCACAGTATCTTCACAGTTACAGGTTTAATTAAATATAAGCTATAAGTCATCCCTTGTTTGCTTGTCTTCTGTTACTCAAGCTTGGCCTAACACCTTTATGTGCCTTATTTAGTAGTAAAGAAGAATAATGTCACCAGCACACCGTGTGCTAGTGACATTATTCTTCTTTTCTGTGATTTACACGGTGCCTTCCGTGGTCACTACAAGCACCCACCCAGTTTGGGGTTGTTTTGGTAAGGAGTGCAGCAAGACATCCTGTTTCTAGAAGTTTATTTAGTAGTAATACACATGGAACAGTGTCTTATAAAGCTTTTCCTAAGAGACAACTTTTTGACAAGCAACACTTCTTTATTACCAGTAATCACTATTCTATTTATAGACATCTGTGTAAAGGGAATGCATACAACAATGATTAGACTCCTGCTTGTCAAGACTGACTTATGGCTTCATTTTGTCTAAATGTATTATCATCATAAATTACATTACAGCTTTTGCTACACAGATGGGTATACATTGGTATAACTGTGTGATAATCCTTTGCTTCATTGGTAGCATGGATGATTTATTTATCTAATGTAAGAACATTGTTGTTGTTGTTATTGCTTTGTTTTCCCATATATCTAAAGAGAGATTCAGGTATTGTTTGCTATCCTATAGAACCCCAGCTTATTTTACTTCAATAGCCCTTTACCACTGGTATCAACGGGAAGCAATATATACATTTTCTTTTATGTTTTTGCAGTATATTCATTTTTTTAAATATTTATATCAAATCTTTTTTACAAATAAATATTTGATACACAGTGCACCCATGACACAGTCTTTTTAGAACATTAGAAAAAAACAACAGTAGCTTTTCATTTCACACTGTCTCCCTCCAAATTAAATTATGCCTGCTTTCATACATAGCAGAGAGGGGGTGCATTGTTTAGATGTGTGAAGTTTGAGTATCAGCTATTGAGTTCTGTAAACAATAGGCTTTTTAAAATATTACTAATTTATTGTAAATGTATGTAGCTAAAAATAACAAGGGTTGAGCTTTGGGTTGAACATGAGCTCAACCTAAACCCAGTTTGTTCGCAGTTCAATGAATGGCCAGTTTGACCACCTGCCTCAGCCTCCAGGTGACATATTTGAAAGTCTACCATTTAGGGGCAGTAGCCCTTTTAAAAAAAAAAATATAATAAAGGAGGGGTTCTGTCCCCTTTACTTATTCACCTAGGGAGAATAGATATGTGGGTGTCCCCTTGTTGTGAAGGGGGGTTCCATATTATAATAGGTCCCCCCCCCCTCAAAGGCCCTCACATCCCTTTTGGGGGACAAATTGTGGGGGTGAGGCCCTTGTCTTCAATAACATGGGAATAATATGCCTTGCAAGTGGGGGAGGACTTTGCCCCAGCCTTACAAGCTGAGGGGGAGTAAATGGATTTAACATACCCCTCCCCCTGGTGTTTGCAGTGTAGCAGCTAGTGCTGAAAGTCTGGGGTACATCTCTTGTGGGGTGCCAAGGCTGTGCCCACTCAGCACTAAATGACAGATTCCTGGCTGCTGTTTTTTAAAAATGTTAATTTTAAAGTTGCACATCCTACTAATCCCCAACTTCACGTGCAGGTTTAAAGCATACTCAAACAATGTTTTTAAAGTTGTAAATTTTTTATGTTGCCCTTTAAGCTACATTAAAAAACCCTCTCCCTGCTGAATGTTTTTTCTTTTTTGCATTGGTACATGTTACCCGTGGCAGCGTTTAGATACCCATGCCATTTTTTTTTTTTTTTTTACAAAAGCTTGCAAATTGACCTTGAAAAAAGCCAGAAAAAAATAAGATTTGGCTCCCATTGTGTTAACAATGGTTTCAGTGCTATGTTCTGGTTTATATTTTCTCTTTACGTTGCCTGATTTGCTCATTACTTGAAATAATAAAAATAATTAAAAAAAATGCAAATTGTAATTTTTGGTTCTGAACATAATAATAAATATGATAGTAAAACATATTCTAACTTTATTGAAAAGCAGTCAAAATACAGTATGCTGCACTTTCTTTGATGACTTTCTTTGTCAATGGCTTGCCTTAATTTTTTCATATATTTTTTTTATAAATGAATCAATGAAAAGAGCAGTAAACATGTCACCTACAAATTCTTGAATAGTTCATGTAATAAATTATAGGCACCTAACAGCAGCTCAAAGTTTAATGTCTTCTATAAAGCCCCAAAGCCAAGGCAGTTTTATGCAAATTTCAGTATGTCCTTGCAGTATGTCCTTGCAGTACTAAAGGCTGGCCTACCAACTAATGCAGCTTTCCCTGGGACACTGGAGAATACATATGAAGGTTTTCCTGTATTGTATTATTTACTGTAGGTCATTTTAGAAAAGGTTCAGGGGAACAACAGGGTGTGGTACACCATTTGTTTGGCTAACGACAATCTAATGAAAGGAGGATGCATAAATACACTCTGTAAGCATTCTTATATCATTAACAATGTTTCTAATTAACACCTAATACTTAATTAGTAATTAATAATTAGATATAATATGATTTACTAAGCAAAGCAATTCTGTCTGTTTCAAAATCTTTGCCAGTAATTAGGCCTTTAAAGACATTAAAACTGATGTAGCATCATATCAGATTACCATTAATAAAAAGTATCTGGAACAATACACGCTAGTTCTACTATTTGAAAGCACCTCCCTCCCCCAATGCAATACATTGTTTTACTGCTTTTGTTGCGCATACAAAGAAAATTGTGTTCTACTGTCTTGCTCTTTAAAATAAAGTTTGTGTCTGTTTATATTTTACTGTATAGTTGTAAAATAGAACAATTTGTTTTACAGCTAGAGAAAGTATAACCGTGAAGGCCAACTGCACCTCTCCAATGGCCAACTGCACCTCCACAGGATTTCAGTACAGTTATAGCCTACTATTACAGAACAAATTATACCAAACTGCATACAGCTGTTGTAGGCTCTTTGGCCATCCTAAGTGCAGTTCATGGAAACATTGGCTCTAGGAATTAAAGTGACCTTAAAGTCAATTTTTTTCCCTTCCCCCCCCCCCCATGTTAATGTCAGCACTTACCTTAAATTATGTCTCTTAATCCGATCTTCCTTTTCTTTCCCCATGTTTTCATCTGTCCCTCCAGAATAGGAACTGCGCATGCGCCCGCCCCAAGATCCTTTGCGGCCGTACGAGCAGTCCCTGATTCTCGGCGCGGGAGCGCGCAAAGAAAAAAAGTTTAAAACGCTGTTTTAGCGGTTTTTGTTTAAAAAAAAAAACTTCATAGCAGTAGATATAGGCAAAAAAACTGGAGGGTTTAGAACCCCTTTAAGGCTTGGAAACAAACAAGAAAATATAACCATGAAGATTATGATAAGAAGTGTTTAAAGATATCAAAATACCATCCATTGAACGTTTGTATAGTGCAGTAGAGCCTTTGTGTAACAGAAGGTATTCACATGTTTCATTGCATATCCCAAAATAAGAGGATCAGGCCTCATTTTAGGACTGTTGGTGGTGCCAAGCAAATCATTAATTTACACCCCAAAAACCACATGCAGAACTGCTGCATTATAGGGAAGATGTAGCCAATGTTATAGAGAGGTTTTACTAACAAAAGTAAAAAATACTTACCTTGAATATCACTGTCCTTCACGCTGCCTAATTTTTACTTTTTTCTTCTTATCCTTTGGGTGATTTAAGCTTTAGTTGAGGCATCTCATTCAGCATCTGGTAGTAGTAAGCATAGTGATTATTCTGATGACTGATGGTCATGATAGGAGAAGTGCATAAGGAGAATGAGAATTAAAAAACAGATAAGGGTAAAACAAGGCTTTTGTTCCCTCCTAACTTTCCTATTGGATCCCAGAATTTTGTTGCCTACTTTCTTCCATTATAAATCTATCTGGCCATTGTTTACAGTTTCTGGAACCTTTTACTGATATGTCATTCTCTACAGAGTGTCCAAATATGATTTGTATATGTAAGATGTACACAGGAAGTTTAATGCTTGGGGATATCTGCTCACACTGGTATCTCTTATCTTTGCTACAAATTATGTGACGTCACAAAGATTTAAAAATAGATGTGATTTTTTTAAGAAGAAGAATTTCTGACTTTCTGCTCTTTCTGGGTATGGTCTTTTGAAAAGGATAGGTACACTGTATTTGGACATTTTAAGCAGTGCTTCCATCAGATCTAGGGAAAGTAAAAACTTGAATGAACAAGTCATTTGCCAAGTAAAGTAATCACACCACATCTAAAACAGGCCTTGAACATGTTGTATGCTTCTTAGAATCTCAGGGAATATTTTTATAAACAGTATATTTATGTTTGTATGTATGTATGTATGTATGTATGTATTTATTTGTGAACCCTTTTTATTTATGTATTTATATATTTATTTAGGAATGCAAGAGGCATCTCTTAAACTCACAGAATCTCTTCATGAAGTCTATGAGCCTGAATGGTATGGAAGAGAAGATGTGAAATTGGTGGGAGAGGTAAGTGCTTCCTAATGGCCTTAATTTTAAAAAATCTCACTTTCTCCCTGTTTTTGTCACTGCTACTTGTTTCCCCTTTTCTTTCTACCTCCCTTTCTTTCTACCTCTCTCTCTTTCTTTCTTTCTTCTATTCATACATATACTTTATATGTATTTGCTAGATATTTCAGGTTGATTAACATCCAAAGTTTTACAAGAGTCAGCCAGCTAAAAAACTGCTGCAGACAAAATCTGGAGCAGCTGTGCATGGCCAACAATCAGCTTCTCTCTTCAGGTTGTTCAGTTAAGATTTGAAAATGAAAGAGAGAAGCTGATTGGTTGTCATGCACAGCTACTCCAGATTTTGCCTGCTCCAGTTTTAATAAATTCCCCTCTCTGTCTTCATATCCCAGTGACAATCTTTCCTCTATTTCTTATCCTACTGTTACAGGGTCAGTAAGTAGGGTGAAAGATGTTTATTTATTGACTCTACCCAAATTAAAATGATATTGCTCGTCCAAAGCAGGAATTTTTACTGTGTGGAAATGCAACAATGTCCTGTTTTATCTTTTAACTTTACTTCGCTATACTTTACTGCACTTCTGCATCTTTGTTTCTTTCCTACAAAAAAGTACTCCATGGAACTACTGATAACAATATAAGTATAAACCTGTTTGCTGAAATTGCTCATTTCCATTCATTCTTTTTTTCTGTTTTTATATTCTACTTGTTCATTTTAAATATGTACTTTCTACAGAAATGCGATGTACTTTGGGAAGATTTTCACCAAAAATTAGTGGATGGGGCCTTGTTAACACTTGATACATATCTAGGACAGTTTCCTGAAATAAAGGTATGTTACATATATGATATGATGAAATGTTTTTGAAAACATATGATCAGCTGAGGACTGTTGGTTTCTAGTATGTGAATGTAATCAGAAGTAAAAGTTTTATTTCAGGAGCATTTTTTAGTAGCATCATGGGCTAATAACAACTAGTATAAAAACCATAAGGTTTATTCATTAAGTATGAAGTGCAGAGATGAAATGCAATTGCAATAACCCCCTAGGTGAGATGAATGATAAATTGAGGTTTCCATGGGTAACTGCAGTTGCACTGCACAACATTTGTTCCAAATGCATGCAAGTAAAAAAAATACCTGGGTCTCCACCTAGTATTCTATCAATGGGGCTTTCTCTGACATAATCGGCAGGACTTCTGATCTCCACACTAGTTCTGGATCAGTAACTCAGGAAGTACTGAAGGCGAGGATCAGAATGATTGCCAGGCAACTGGATGTTTTTTGCAGGAGGTCAACAAAGGCCACCTGATTCTCATTTCTTTTGAACTTCTCTTCACCTATTACATCAAACTGTACCAAAGGTATGTTATATAGGTTATTCACAAAAAAACAAGGACTAAAGTCTTGTTCATACGGTTGCTATATGCAGGCTGGAATCCAGAAACTATGGTATTTTACAAGTGTTCCTCCAGTTGCCTCCACAACAGGGCCCACCATGCCTATGGTGGATTTCAACAAGAGGTTTTGGAAACAGTGCATACAGTGTTCAACACGAGTGGTGTTGTGAATGAAGTCATTAAGCACTGCTAATTTGAACAAAACCTAAAAGAAAATACAATTTACTGGTTAATAAGTCCTAACCCTTCATTTGAACAATCCTGGCAGGTTCATTTAGTCTTCACACACAATTCAGGAAACAAACTGGCAAGTTTGCCTGCCTGAACCTCCACCTTATACTAGTAAATAAATAAACTGGCACAATGACAATTCCCCTTCTTGTAAAGACTGTGCAGGGGATTCTGGGTGACATAATTGACCTAATATGGCCATAACCATATTTGGTCAATGACCTCAGCCAGCTTCCCTGTCTGGTTTGGTGACATACAACAGCTGGCTGGGGGACTGTCATTTGCAATGGAAATAGCAGTGGCTGAACATCGCCAGGTGTGACGGGTTGTTGTGCCGGCAGATCATTGTGATTGATATGGATCAACATTGCTGGATGACATAATTGACATTGGATTACATTGGGGAACATTGTATCTTTGTTTGTGAATAAGGGACACAAGGTATAATGTACCCCATACCTATTCATCTGGGTGATATCTAGGAGCTCTCATTTTGTAATAGAGGCTTTCAGATTCTCATAAGACCCCATGCATACCCCATGTTCCCTTTTGGTGACAGGATATGCGGATGAGATGCCTTGCAGGGGAAGGCCTTGCTAACCACCCCCAACCCGTTGCAAAGTGACTTCCAATATTTGAGGCATGTGTTCTGATTTAGTGGAGGTGCACGCTTGCTGCCAGCCTTTCAGCCTTTCCTTAATGCATGCCTGGATAAGGATCTTTTATTAACTTTTTTTAGGTATTGCATGTCATTTGTTTTTTTAATTGTACTGGCCTGTTAAGGAAATAAAACAAGCAGTCAAAAAACAGTATGGTGGCCCCCATAAACCCCCTTACCAGTCTTTTCCAGACTTTATGCAAGGTCAGGAAAGAGGGGAAAGCGAGCATGTGTGCAACCTTGTTCTCAGATGTTGAATTGACAAGGCCCTCATCCCCACATTCTGTCCCTCACAGGTGATGTGGTAGTCTGCAAGGGTGACATATTGGAATTTGGAAGCCCTCTTTAGAATCAAAGGAGGCTCCAAGATATCCACCCACCCCCTAGCATAGTATAGTACTGCTTGTTACTCAATCACATACAAAAAGGGAAAATTAAATATAAACATCCACACCATAAAAAAGTCCTTTATTGGGAAAATTTAATAAAAAAATAAACAATCTCTCTCTGATGTAAATTCAGCAACAGTCACGTTTTCCAGTGATGCAGACCAAAATCAGTACAACAGCAAAAATGTTCCCAGCACACTCACCAGCCAGCATGCACAAAATCCTGTCTAACTGCTAAGGTTAAAAACAGAGGTTTTAGATACACGTCTTCTGCAGAATATGTGAAAACCGCACTGCCTCGTCAAGGCCCCTCCGCGTAGTGCGGTCCCAACTCCAACCCATGAGAGTATCCATCTTGGAGCACATGTAGCAAAAGATAAAATTGGGTGCAGGTTCGCCAGGAGGCAGCCCAACCTCCTTAAAGGCACAGGGCACAGCAAACTAACTATGCTACCAAGGATATGCATCTGTGGTTGGAGAACCGAAAGCCCTGCAATGTAAATGGGACAGGCAGGGTTACCAGGTATTCATTATACATAAGGAAGGGAAGAGGAATGCAAAATGTAAATGTTTTTAATTGGATTACATACACTTTAAATTGATTTCGTCATATGTGAAGCTTTCATAGCTGTAAGATGTACTGAGTTAGGAACTTGGTAAAGTGCTCTATGTCTGTAGATAATTATTTCAAATGGTGACACACTGAATCTCTAGAAATACATTTTCAGAAGAAATCTCTAAGCTGACAGACATGGATGTACAAGGTTATTTGATCTTATAGATGAACTGTTACTCTAAAGGAAAACTAGAGTCGGTAACAATTATAGATATAAATGTAACTTTCTGTAAATTTCTCTTCTTTCAGTTCTTTCTGCCTCTCCCAGAAGTCTGCACAGAGCTATAGGTTAAATAACAGCCAGACTGTGGCATACAATATTTAATCAACAGCAAAATGCCTTCTCAATTTTTCTGCATGCTTGTGTATAACTGTTATCTTACACCAGCAGAAGCATGGTGCTATAAACTCCTGTCAATGTGACATTTTGATGTTGTACATAAATATAGTGCAGTCTGGTGATAGGATAGAAGTAGGACACTGGTGTTGATTAAACCTGGCCAAGCAATGATTTTCCTGAGCATTTGCACGCTGATTTGATTTGTTTAGAATCATGTCAGTCAAAAAAACAAACAATCATGATTCATGAATTATGTGATTATGTGATGTGGGAATATATTTAAGTAAATCATAACATTAAGTAAATCATAACATTTTGTTGATTTGTGAATCGATTTACTAATCAGTGCTGGACTTTGAGGCCTCCTAACCTATGTGACTGCTAGTCCAGGAGCAGCATTTACATCAGTGTCAAAGTATAGGTAGATAAAATGAAGTCTACCTTATTTCAGTAACATAGCAGGATGATGACTGTTTAAAGTGAAAGTCAAATCCATGTTTATAAACACTGACAGAGAGCAGTAAGAACTTGACTAGGGTATTAAAGATTAGTCATGGGCTCGATGTTCGAGTCAAACCACAGTTCAACTCGAACTTCGCTAGTTCGTGTGTTCATCGAACACACAAACTGTCAGGGCATTCATTGGAGTGTATTGGAGAGCCCTGATTGGGTAAAGCAATGCACCTGACCACAGGTCAGGTGCAAGACTTTGCCAAATCATGGCACAGGGCTCTGTACTGTATATAGTATTATTTTCTGTGCTATATATTTACTGTCTTTTTTTGTGTGTGTGTCAGTAGCGTCACTTGTGTTTCTCCTGCGTCACCGGTGTTCCCATTTTAAAAAAAATTATATTTTATTATTTTTACTTTTTTTTTTTTCAGCAGCAGGTTATTTTGCTGCCTCATTGATGTTCCCCCTTCCATGTCACAGGTGTTCCAGTTTAAAAAAATAATAATTTGTTTTTCCTTTTTTTAAAATAAGGGAAGGTAATAACTGGGAAACCCGGGAGTGGGTGCCTGTGCCAGTGTATAAACTATTAGTTTCCTCTATTGAGGGGGATAGCTCCATCAAGGCAGCAAAATCATTTCTAGTAATAGCTTAAACAAAGGAGCTAAAAGATTGGAGTCATGTCTAGAACTATAGCATCAGATCTATCAAGAGCCCATAATTCATTTGGTATTGCCGTACTGTATTCAGTGCTTGCTTTTCCTTAAAAGTGATGCAATCTCTTGAAAGACCCATTGAGCCAAAAATTATCTTCTGTCAGGAGTTCTGGGGAAATTCCTCTGCTCTAAAACAGTTTTGTCTGTACCGGTGTGTTCTAAACAATCAGATGTGGGCTGCCTATCTGTGTCCTAAAAATACAGTACCCTATATGTACCTCCTCACGTTCAGTGTCTGTCTAATCTCTCACTTACTCTGATCCATCCATCCATCCAAAGGCTGTGCACAACCTCCCACGGGCTAAGGACAGACCCCCTCCTTTTCTGGGAGTGGATAGCTCACTACTACATTATTTTCTAATTAACCCATACTCGCCCTGCTCAGACCTTTTAAATCAACTTGCAATACCTACGAAGTACGACGGAGTGCACAGCGATATCTCAGTGTTTGCTGACGATACCAAAATTGGGAGGGTAATAGAAACAGACCAAGATAGTGTAACATTGCAGGAGGACCTGGATAAAACAGGGGAGTGGGCAACTATGTGGCAGATGAGGTTTAATGTCGATAAATGCAAAGTTATGCACGTTGGGAGCAAAACTAGGCAAAGGGGTTATACAATTATGGGTATGCCGCTAGGGAAGACGGAAATGGAGAAAGATTTGGGGGTCATTGTAGACCACAAACTGAATAATAAATTACAGTGCCAGGTTGCTGTAAGCAAAGCTAGCAGAATCCTGCCCTGCATCAAGAAGGGAATGTTTTCCAGGGATAGGTCTATAATTTTGGCACTTTACACAACAATGGTTCGGCCCCACCTGGAGTATGTGGTGCAGTTTTGAAAGAAAGGATGTCCTTGAACTGGAGAAAGTCCAGCGGAGGGCGGCCAAACTCATCAAGGGGATGGAGGACCAGAGCTATGAGACAAGGCTACTAAATTTAAACATGTTTACATTGGAAGTAAGGAGATTAAGGGGGGGCATGATTTTCATGTACAAATTGTTCAATAGTCATAGCAACATTAGCAAAAA